GATCAAGCATCTTACAGTTGACGACAAAAAATTAAAGCTTACTATATGGGACACTGGTAAATGAGAACATCTTTGAAATTACAAATTTGGTTTGATTTTTTAGCATACTTTTGTTATATTTCACAATAGGTTGGACCCTTCTCATTAGCCTAAGCTTTTGGGACTAGTACTAAATTAATTGTTTTATAATCTTTAACAATGGTTTGGTTTGGTACAGTTTGTTGTATAGCTGGATGTTCCCAGTTAACAAATGAGAATCTTCACAGGAAATATACCTAGCACTTGAATAACATTCTGTAACAGATGCTAGTTGCTAAAGTCAGGTTTCTTGTTTCTTACACTGTGTTTCTGTAGAAAGTGGTTGTTGCACTTTTGCCTAACAATATTTGTTTGATGATCTCTGGCCAAGGTAACTCAGGCAAGTAAAACCTAGAAAAACCAAAACCAGCAGTAGACTTACATTGTCAATTGTGCATATACAAAATTCAACTTGTCCATTAAATTAATTCTCATCTTTGACTTATATCAAAAGAATATATATATATATATATATATATATATATATATATATATATATATATATATATATATATCCTCAATATTTTTTTATGGGACACGTATAAAGAATGTTAGATGTAAATTATTTCTTTTATGTATTAACTAGCTGCACCCAGTGCCAAATGCCATGAATATTGGATAACTGAGGATCCATATGTGACATGAGAGCTTACTAGATTCTTTTTTATGGAACCCATTCCCTAAAGACCTGAGTTTGGATTTGTTATTAGTGCCCATGGACACCTAGATAGACATCCAGTATAATGCTCTTCAAGAAGAAATAAGTTCTTTTTTTCGTATGTCATGTCATCTTTTTGGTTTTTTTTTAAACCAGGCTTTGGTTGTTTTGGTTGATCTATTGCACATTGGTCCTCAGCCTATTCTACTTCCAGTAATCCATTGAAGCTTAGGCATATCTAAATTTGCTTAAATTTCTTCACCATTAGAGCCTTATGACAGGTGGGGGTACTTACCATTTCAGACTCATTTCATGGAATATCTGCTGTGAGCTTATTTGTATGTTGAGTAGTTGCCAACTTATCATTGATTGTTTCATTATGTTTGGACCTTTTTTCACATAATAACAGCCATTAAAAATGAAAGAGTGACTCAATGCACAAGTCTCTCGCAAATGTAGGGCCTGGGTTGAATTAATGTACGCAACCTTACCCCTTGCAAGTAGAGAGACTATGACAACAAGGCCTCATATTATGACAGTCATTTTGTATGGGAATAGCCTAAAAGACTGCAGGATTATGACTGATACGCATGCTGCTATGAAAATTATTTATAGACAACAAAATGGGTATAGTTTTGTGGTTTATACCAGGAGGTTGCGATGAATGTGCTATTTATTTGGATTCAGGTATATGTTCCTAATCCTTGTCATATTTTGTAGTACTCTTGTTCTCATGAAACAATTTATGTATGTTTGCCAGCTGGACAGGAGAGGTTTAGGACGCTAACTAGTTCTTATTACAGAGGTTGTCAAGGAATAATTCTGGGTAAGTGATTTGTTCTAAAACTTCATTTAGTTGTACATCGGTATGCTCTATTCCCTATGGTGTGCCTGTTCTATCACCAACCTGTATTAGTTATTTTGTTTCTCTTTAACTAAAATGCTCTGAACAATGTTTAAATCATTCATTTCAAATTGAATAAATTAAAAATCAACCTTTTTGCAACTCTTCAACTAACTTGCTAGTATGGGATTCATTTTGAGGTTTTGGTCATCTGCCATGCATGTACACATAGGACATTGCATGATCCATCTGGCCTGTGCCACATGTTTCCGTGGGCATGCTAGTAATGTGCCAATGCACATACCCTGCGATGCATTGGATAGTGTGGCAGGAACCTTAGTCCATGATGTGGTTGTCATTATGCACCAGAGTTAGTGATATATTATCTTCAATATAAGCAGTCCTTGTCATTTTCTAACATCACTGTGGTCTCATCTGCTTCATGTCTTGCGTGCAAACATATAGTACTTATACTTTGCCAAGTATTTTGTTTTCTCAGCTCATCTTTTTGTTTTCTTAACTTAGGTTCATGTGAAGTAGGTTTGTCAGACTTGCTATTATTGAGGATCACATATTCCTATTGTCCAAGTCAGCTGTTACACTGCTGTTACACTATTGAGCTGCCTCCTGTTTGTTATTTTTCATAATTTCTGTCCTATAATTCCTAACTCTTGCAGAGAAACTTGTATATTTATCCAAGATGTTATAATGATTGAATTCTGATGTGCAGCATGCTAATCAATTAAGAAATTTAAACTTGTTCAATGTTAGTCAATTACTGTTTTACGTATCACATATGGTTAACGTGGCAAACTCTTGTAGGAGCATTATCTGTTAGAGGCATTTGATATCAAGGTTTGCCGTACCGGACTGTATCGCCCGGTACGGGCGGTACGTACCGGTCCGACAGGCTAACGGTACGCGGACCGCCCTGTACCGGTCCGCCCGTACCGAGCACTGTAGCAGTGTAGCACTGCTACAGTGCTCGGTACACCTGGGTGTACCGAGCGGTATACCGTACCGTACCAATACCGAGCCCGGGTCGAAACGCCGGTACGGTACGGTACGGCGAACCTTGTTTGATATATACACAAATTATGATATTGAAATCAACTGCAAATTGCTGTCCACTGTGGATGAATTGTCTTTCACTCTTGGCATATGTTCTTTTCCCTGGTTATATTTAATGTTGTTTGAATCTCCATCTTCAACACTCGTGCACCTTGCTTTTGACCATCCAAGTCTCCTTTTACTGCCTAATTTTTCTAGCTCGTAATATGGTTTTTGTACTTACTGTTTTTAGTTCCCTAGCTGAACTTATTCTATGTTCAAACCTCCATCTTCAATCTGTGCACCTTGCTTGAGACTCATTCACATTTCTTGTACTAACTAAAGTTTAGCATGTAATATGCTTTGAATGTTAGCAACCATAGAAGAACTAATACTTTCTTCTCAAATTCATGGATGAATTTTCTTCTTTTGCTACTATTTGTTTATAGGGTTTTCAAATTACGTTTGATGCTTTTGCTATATTTGTATCACATATGCCGAATGATATTTTTCATTTATCTATCCTGATAGTTTATGATGTGACAAAGCGGGAGACTTTCACCAATCTGGCTGATGTATGGGTTAAGGAAGTAGAGTTGTATGCAACAAACCACAACTGTGTCAAAGTGCTCGTTGGAAACAAAGTTGACAAGGTTACTTCTGTTCTTCGTAGTACTTGTTATTGTAGTTTCTGTCCCCATTTCATATTAATTAGTGCCTAAAAGAGCTTTATTTGTGTACAATCATCATAGTGTGCCATGCTGTGTCATGATTCTATGCTGGTCGCGTACCCTTGCAAGTTCAGTGCCATGTACATGTGCGCAATGTTCTTTCTTCATCAGCATGACATGGCACAGACAGCATGAGTAATCCTTAAATACTAATTTTTTTGTAACTGAAATTGCCATGTTTTTTTTTTTCATCAATCTGTAAAATCTATTTAAGTGACAATATATCTGTTCTCAACACTACTTGGCCTTGACCTAATTTGTTCAATGACTTCTACAAATTTGCAGGAATGCGTTTCATTCCATTGAATAACCTATACTTAAAACTAAGAATAAAAATTGACATATACATGAACTTTTGGATCCTTCCCATTCATCCCACCCCACTGCCACCCAAATAAAAAGGAATATAACAACAAAAATATTTTATTTGTGTACAATCATCATAGTGAATTATTGTCTAAGAATGTTTGTAGACACCCATAACCAAAATCAGAATTTGGAATTGAAGATCATGTTTCAGTAGAACAACCATAAAGTATTGTGATTGACAAAGCTTGTTGTTGAAGAAATACATTATTATATGACAGGTCTTCTGTAGGTCAGGCATACTTGATTTAGTAGTTCTCTGAATTTTCATGTTATACAATGATTCACTTAGAAGTCATTGACAATGCACTTTTCTGTAGAAAATATACATATATTTCAAGATGGAGACTATCCAACTGGTTCCTTTTAGCCTGAAGAAGAATTTCTCACAATTGTGTTTCACAATTTTATTCTCTCTCTCTCTCTCTCTCTCTCTCTCTCTCTTACTGAAATAAATGATGGAAAAGTCAAATATTATCTATTAATTACAACACTGCATACTGTCCATTTCAATGAAAGTAAATTTCTGTGCCACCAGAACGATTACTAGAGAAGATGTTGCTACTAGATTACTTTCATGATCAAGAACTCTTTATTAGGAGGGATGTGTAGAATATATGGTATGTGTACTTGTTTATTTCATTTTTGAACTTATTTTAATATAAGTTTTTAGATATTGACTTTTATTCACAGCGTTTCCTTCTTTTTTGGGAATCTCTGTTTGCATCTGAAACTGAGATATATACTTTATTCTCTTTATGATGACACTAAACCGTTTCTTTTAAAATATATTAGGAGGCTGATAGAATGGTGACAAGAGAAGAGGGAAATGCCTTTGCAAATGAGTATGGATGTTTGTTTCTAGAGTGCAGTGCGAAAACAAGAGCCAATGTGGAGAGATGTTTTGAAGAACTGGCACTGAAGGTAATTTATACAATAAATTAAAAGTAAAGTTGTCGATTTTTGATGTTTCTTTAAATGTTCTGTAGATCCTGGAAGTTCCTAAACTGGTGGAGGAAGGATCAGTTCCAGTTAAAAGGAATATCCTGAAGCTGCAGCAGGAACAACAACATGCACACCCAGGAGGAGGCTGTTGCTCATCCTGAAGTGTACATACTCATCCCAACAATATGGAAAGGTGCTTTGACTGTGTGTACATACATACTCTCATTTTTAATGTTTTGTACAGAAATTTGGTTGTTTTATCAGTTTGTTTGCATGTGATTATGTGGTGTTCGTACGACGGACTTATGACATGACGTGCTCATCTTTCAAAGCAGGATCAAATTCTTCATTTCTGTCCATGAGATACAGAAATTGATATCTCTTGTTAAAATGTTTCGAGACAATTTGTCATTTGATACAACTTCTCTTGAATCAAGAATTGAAATCACATATGAAAACATCTGAATCAAGAATTGAAGTCACAAGTGCCACGAGAAAAGATACACACCAGGCATCATCAGCTGAATCAATACTGATAAATAAGTTCCTTGACTGCATCCTTATTTTTCCTATAATAATAATCCTCCGCCTGCAACACAGTTCATGTTAAAGGAACCAACAAAAGTTGTCTCATGACATATATAATATAATCAAATTGCTTACCTGGCGAACACCAATAACAGCAGTCACAAGTTCTTCTCCAAGGAATTTGATCAAAACAGTGTCTTGAGAAAGTGCCCCTATAGATTCACGCAATTCTTTTGGCAACCTTCCAACATCTGAATCATGACCAGAAGGATTTGTTTCTGTACCATAGACAGTAGCAACAATATTATGAACCAATCAGCACATCATAATTAATCCACTTCAAACTAGCTTATGACTTTATGGTGCAAAAATCACACTGATGAAAAGAAAAATGTTATTTACTACCAAAATTGTCACTGACACGATTTAAATGTCAGAATATAATTTGTATCTAATTGAATTGACACTGAAACAAAGCATTAAAGGTGAAGAGCCATCTATCATCAAGAAAATGCAAACTAAAGTTTAGTATGCTTGTTTTTCAAGTATCGGAGTTTAGGCCATACAAACGGCTCTTGATATTGCTTTCTGATAGTATTGTTTGAGTTGTCCCTCTTTTTTGCCTACCTATGTGTGAGAAGCAGGCATGATGAAACTATTGCCAATACACCATTTTTTTCTATATTAGGTCTTCGATCCAAAGAGACAAAGTGCTAATCTTTCGCACTCTAATCTCATGAAATCTTCTTACAGACTGATTAACTCCATAGACACTCATTCCATCCAAAAAATTCACCAGGGAATTAACACTTAACCATGGCTACCAACTTCTACCATAAGGCCTTCATGTCCCTGCACCATATTATGAGTTGTTCATTCAACAAAGGTAGAGATTAAAGATTCTTACAATATGAATGGTAGATATTCTCTACTAGGGCCAGAAAAACATAATATATGCAATGAAATATAACTTTGTTAAGACCACTGATGGTAAATAAAACAGATCTTGAAAGAATAAAACCAGAAAAGTACATAAGAAGCTTAAGGCATATATTTTTTTTAATTTTTTTGTAAAGAGGTTATTTGCTGAATTTATACAAAGAACTTAAACAAATATCGAAAATTATAGGAGATAAATTTAATCATACCAATGGGTTCAGGCAAGCTAAGATTTCTTCGAAGGCCATCAATTCCTGCAGCAATTATTGAAGCTAGGCCCAAGTATGGGTTTGCACACCCATCAAAGGACTTAATTTCAAAGTTGCTTACAAGGTCTCTAGATACTCCAGGTGGGCATGCAGTCCTCATTGGAGCTTCTCTATTCTCTTTTCCCCAACAATGGTAAGCCCCACTCCAAGTATTTGGTTGAATCCGTTCATAACTATATTTAGGGATGATAAAAGTAAATATCATGATGAAATATCTGAAGAAAGTTCTGAAATTGAATTTTAAGCATTGAACACAAGAAGTAGATCTAGTGAAAATTCCATAATGCTAAATTAATACTTCTCTTTCTCAATGCTGACTTGTAAGCTTGCCCAAGTTTTTTTATAACCACAAATTAAATAGAAAAAAAAGAAAGGCTGCATAAACTATAGTCTGGAGTCTGGACAATATATAAAAACAGAGGTCACATGTAATTAGTCATAGATGTACCAAAACCAAGAATGAAATCACAACCACTGTTCCTGTGGAGAAAGAACTAACAAGGAGCACCAGCACTAGTGAAAACTGTTTTCCTCTATCAACATTTCCCTCTTCAGTATTCATATTTTTGGCATTGCTGTGCTAATGACATGTACTGACAACTTTCACAATGCAAGCCGCTACTTAGCATAGGGGGGAGTCTCTAAAAATAAAACCTCAATTTAGAACTAGTGTATACTCCACGACTTTCTTTACAACATTTACGAGATATTAATCAATGTATCCTACGTTGTTACACTACGATAATCAGTTTAAACTAATGATTCCAGATTATGGACCAGGCAGTCTACAGACAAAAGTAGCTGCCTGAGGAAATAAAAAGGAGGAAAGAGAGTATGCTTCACTCTTCCATCATGCAAACCATCACTTGGCATAGGGGAGAGCCAGTGGCTCTGAGCCACTATATATAAATCCTTAAGAGAATTTAGAAATGGTGCAGACTCCAACACAACCTTCTTTACAACTTTAACAGATTTTAATCAACGTACTTCTTAGTCTGACATTTCTAAAATCAGTTTAAACTAATGAATTTAATCTTCAGCGAGATTGAGTGCCAGGCCATACTGACAAATGGAGCAGCCTGGGGAAAGGAACAAGAGGAAAGAGAGGAAGTTCACTCTTTTTTACTGCCTCAGGTCTTTGAAACCCTAAGTAGAGTGGGTTGGACTCAAACTTGGACGACTTTAAGGTTTAGGTTCCACTTACGCACTTACACGGGACGGACGGACGGACGGACGCACGAAGTCATGAACTGACAGCCAATTCAATAAGGAAAATATCTGAGAGAAAAGCACAATCAAAGTGCTCATTCTGCAATCAATATTAGTAGCTAACTATGTGTTAAGAACTTACCTGTACAACACCAATGCTTGAACTATATAGACAGCATACATAATACTTTAATCGTTGATGAAGTTGCAGAAAGATAGATAGTTGATGATCAAAGATAAACTACTATAAAATTAGTGTAGTGGAACGGTTGAGAATGATCTAATGCTTGTATTGTAGTTAGAAGTCTTTCACACTTACATATAATCCTGGAAGGATAGTTATGAGATGTTCTAATAGCGGGCAAAAAACCAGGGATGCAAGTTAAGAGCACTTCCGTGACTCACCCTTGGCCATAAAATATACCTTGTGACCTAATTAGAAATCAGAACATCCTCTAGAATTTTTCTTTTTTTATTCTTTGGAAAAGAAAAATGGGTGTTGTGTCTACAATTTCTATTTCATTTAGAGATATGAAATCAAGAATTTCAACATAAATTTCAGTAATTTGGAGCAAGTAATTTCTATATAGAAGCCACAAATTAAATTCTCATTTTTCACTGGTCAAAGGCTATTACTAATCAACCAAATTATCTAACAAATGGAATGCTTCCAACATACCTTAATTCATGAGCCATATGTATTCATATAAAAGGCCCTTAATAAAGGGCTAGTATATTCAACTGCTTCAGCAACTCCCTGAGATCTCAAAGAAATTGCCATTACTATAAAATTGTTTTTGACCATGAGGACATACTTTAAGGTAAGACTATCCTCCTAGAAACAAAGCTAAGATGAGGAAATATCCAGGAATCTGTTTGTTTGTACTGAAACCTAATCTAATGGCTATTTTGATCAATTTTCTTGATCTAGCCCCAACTAGTGTGATCAGGTTCTGGCCAGACATAACATTAGCAAGGACCATTACCAAAACTATGATTGTTGTGCCCCTTCGAAATTCTCTTTAGAGAAGGAAGATGCTCTAGTTATCAACAATTTAACACTTTATGATGATGAAAATTGGACAGTTCAACATGAAAAGTGAAAAATTAAAAACATCACAACTAGCACTCGAAAGTATCTGCAGACATGGATGCTTTCAGAGAGGCTCAAAGTGCTTGTAGACACCTATTACAATGTCATCCTGCAACGATGAGCTATCCAGGAAAGTAAAGCATTCGATCATTTATGGAGACATAATTTCTTTTCTGAAAAAGAAAAGGACCTTACCTGTTGGGAAGTGGAGCAATAAATGCCAAGATTGAAGGAAGATGATAATAAACTCCAGCCATAAATTTTTCACCAAGTTCTGACATTCCATGTCGAGTTTTTGATGCCTCGGATCCGATAAAGACATTCTTTCCACTCTCCCACAAACTTAAATGTACATGAGATCCAGAGCCAATGTCATCTAAGCGATACCTATAAACCAAATGAACCGAAAACGTGCAATTATTAGTTTTCACAATTTCAGATTTAATTTGAGATAATATTTCCATGTTAGGAAAAAAAGAATTTCAGGTATTTCAACATTTATAATGACGTCTAGTTCATGCATGTAATATATATATATATATATATATGTGTGTGTGTGTGTGTGTGTGTGTGTGTGTGTGTGTGTGT